GAAAGTGTAGCCAAAAAAAGCTAAAAACTGCTGAAAAAGCACCCGAAAAAATCCTTGGAAAATACTGATTTAATTGCAGTCGCTGAATGCGAATTGCAGTATTTAACGAACTTAAAAGCTCATTGTTAAAAAATGTTATTTTTATATTTAAGCCGATTCCTAACTACGCTATCGATAAGAACAGTTTATTAAGCAGCTAATAAAAAGTTTTAAAACTTAATTTATCGGATATGGTTTAAACAATATATAATTTATAAAATTACAAGGGTAATCGTTTATCGATATTTATTTAAACTAATCGGTAAGTAGTCTTCACTGCCTTCTTCCTTTAAGTTCCTCAGCTCTTCATCGTCTTCGTCTCTTTAATCGATCGATCTGTTACATAGATCATATCATAATCGATATACTCTATCAACAGTTTATATTTGTCAACGTACCGTGCGAAAAATAAACAAATTAACAGCCATCGAATGATAATAAAAAGGAACAAAAAATATTTAAATTTGATTTTTTTTTATTATTTTTTCGCAGTGCAATTTTCACAGAGAACAACAGCTTGTGGCCTATAAAAACAAACAGATATTTGGATCTAAATTAAATATGCATCAACGATTGGGAGTGAAGAGGCTTAACGAATTAATAGCTGTTTGGAAATGGACAGCGCCATGAATTTTGACAGTGACTGTAACAGTAAAGATAAGTTGAATCACAGTGAAATGGGAATTTGATATAAAGAAAATTGAGTTAACTAAATGAAAAGTAAAGGTTAAACTGTTTTGGAAGCCCGCAAAAGTATGCTATAAAAATTAAGAAACTTCAGCTAACAGGCGCTGAAATATCCATTTAACACCTCAAAAGTTTACCGTTAGCTTCTAAGCGAATATGTTAGTTACACTTGCAATTTAAGCAGCGTGCTAAGCTTTAAGCTGCTTACGCACTTCGCAGCAATAAAATGTATTAAAAAATGGCAAAACAAACCGAAAGAAGCGAACGAACATAAAAAAGAACCGCAACATGTTCAAAGAAGATGAAATGTCGGCAGCGTAGCAAGCAAAATGGCTAAATGAATAAAAATGATTGCGGTATTTGTAGCAAGATGCGAAGACAAAAGGCAGACAGACGAAAGCGTGGCGAGGCAATAAAGAAAGCACAACACATCAGCAGCACCAAGTGGAGGGAGTGAGCAAGAAGATAAAATAAACACGCACACACAGAGAAGAGCACAGCACGCGTTGAAAGTTTTCAATTTTTACGACTTCATTAGAAACGCATGATGAGCAATAATGATAGAGAGTGGGTAGGAGCAAGACAGAGAGATAGAGGGAAGGGCAGGAGGCGACGACAGCTTGCAACTGTCTCGCAGTGCCCAACTACAACTACAACTATAAAAGGCAAACCGCAAACCCGAAAAGAAGCTCACACTACGACCACAAAAGCATAAAGTCTGAAGAGAGCATGGAAGAGAGGGAGAGCGGGAGAGCGAGTGCTGTGGTGAAGACAAGCAGAAGGCGGAGTCGAAAGGCGTTGGCATTGCCGCTGGCAGAGCTGTCAGCCACAAAATGAAGGAAGTGAAGCAGCTGGAAAATTACTCCACACACTTTATGAATGAATGAGTGCCGTTTAAGTGGCCAAATGTGTGACTTGAAGAGGGAGGGAGTGTGTAAAGAGAGCGCGAGTGAGAGTGAGAGTGAGAGCGACAAGTGCTTTGACTGTAATGAAAGTTTAAATTGTTTTTGTTTTGTGAATGCTTAGGCAAATATGTAACAGTTCTTGTTGTTGCTGTAGCTGTTGCTGTTGTTCCTTTTGACTTGAGCTAATAAATTCTGTTTGCAAACGACAAAAAAATACATAAACTGTTGGAAGGGGCAACAGAAATGAATGTGTGTGTGTGGGATAAACAGATGTATAAATAAGTAAGCAAAATGCAAAAAGATGACGTTTGATAGCTATTGTGTGTGTGTGAGTGAGTGTGCAAGACGACGTCGCTTGTTAGCTGTAGTGAGTGTGAGCGAGCAAGCAAGCAAGTGCTTAGGCAATTGTTGAGCATTTGCAATGGAATGGCAAGGAATTGATGATCTTTGAATTAGCTTTGAATGTGTGCGTGGAATTTGTATGCAAAACGATAAAGTGTTATAAATTATGACTATAATGTGCGTGAAAGAGATAGCTAAGCATATTGCTTTGACTTTGTGTGTCAATTCCCATATTGAAAAGCAATCATAAGCTGTTAGAAGAAGACAGATATATACATGAGTTTATGTCGACTTTAAAGGCTTTTCCAATCAAAATTATGAATTGATTCGACATTTTCGTTTATTTGTATCCTAAGTTATAATCTAAGATATACTCGAATTCTTTCCAATTCATTTTATTTCTTAGAACCATTTCGATGTGCATTATTTCGTAATGAACTTATAAAATAATGTGTTTCTTTATTAAATCAAAGCCAAGCATCGCAAATATTTACACAAATTGAATTTGATAAAAGAAAGTGAAGGAAAACAAAGTGAAGTCAAAGTCAAATGAAAGCCAATAAAATACTTGCAATTTGTCGAGTGTCCTTAATGCTTTTCACTCCTAAGACTCCTTCGGCTCCTCGAACTGCTTTCCGTTTCACTAATTTCATTTGGCAGCGAACAGAACTTGTTAGCTGGTAATTGATTTCATTAAGTTCTTGGCCAAGTGCAAAAATTCTCTGCCAACGACAACCCCAATATAGCTTGCAATAATATCAAATTCAAGTTGCTTGACAACTTGTCCAACAAGTTGGGCAAATGTTATTTTTCCCTCCTTCTTCTTTCTGCTTTGTGAATGCTTCCGATTCGTAGTCCAAAATAGTTGAGGCGGAACAGATTACTACTGCTTATTTTTTTGTCGGCTACAACCCTGGTCAAATTGACAGCTGATCAGTGTGCGCTATACATATATATATATATATATATATATGGGTATGTATATTTATTTTTCAACAATTTCCGCTATGGCTGATGCTTCTCTCTCTTGGGGTCTAACGGCTTGGGCATGAAACATGCCAAAGTTTCCGCTTACTTCTAAATTTGATCTATATTTTAAATTGACTATGTTGAGTCTATATTTTGTATGTCTCTATTTTAAGTAGCTCTGTCTCTATCATTATTTTTTTCACATTCTATCTGCCTTCTTATCCTCTTTCTCTGTCTATCACTCTGTCATTCTCTCTCTCTCTCTCTCTCTCCCTATTATATATATATATATTATATATACATATGATAATATTTTCTTTCTTAATATTACTTTCCATACTTCTAAAGATGCTCTCTGCTCTGCTCCATATACTTCCATTAATATTTTTTCGTTTACTTCCATTGTCTTTACTTTTCTCGTTGCCTTTCTCCTTTGTTACATCGCCATCTTTCTCTAATTATAGTATTTATTCTCCTTTATTAAACTTCTTTAACATTTTCATCTTTCCATTGTCTTTTTTAATAGCTCTCGGCTTAGTTTAAAGAGCATCTAAGTTTTCGTTCAACTTAACCCAACTTTTTGGTGTTTTTCCTCTGGTTGTTGTTATTCGTATTGGAAGGGGCAACAGAAATGAATGTGTGTGTGTGGGATAAACAGATGTATAAATAAGTAAGCAAAATGCAAAAAGATGACGTTTGATAGCTATTGTGTGTGTGTGAGTGAGTGTGCAAGACGACGTCGCTTGTTAGCTGTAGTGAGTGTGAGCGAGCAAGCAAGCAAGTGCTTAGGCAATTGTTGAGCATTTGCAATGGAATGGCAAGGAATTGATGATCTTTGAATTAGCTTTGAATGTGTGCGTGGAATTTGTATGCAAAACGATAAAGTGTTATAAATTATGACTATAATGTGCGTGAAAGAGATAGCTAAGCATATTGCTTTGACTTTGTGTGTCAATTCCCATATTGAAAAGCAATCATAAGCTGTTAGAAGAAGACAGATATATACATGAGTTTATGTCGACTTTAAAGGCTTTTCCAATCAAAATTATGAATTGATTCGACATTTTCGTTTATTTGTATCCTAAGTTATAATCTAAGATATACTCGAATTCTTTCCAATTCATTTTATTTCTTAGAACCATTTCGATGTGCATTATTTCGTAATGAACTTATAAAATAATGTGTTTCTTTATTAAATCAAAGCCAAGCATCGCAAATATTTACACAAATTGAATTTGATAAAAGAAAGTGAAGGAAAACAAAGTGAAGTCAAAGTCAAATGAAAGCCAATAAAATACTTGCAATTTGTCGAGTGTCCTTAATGCTTTTCACTCCTAAGACTCCTTCGGCTCCTCGAACTGCTTTCCGTTTCACTAATTTCATTTGGCAGCGAACAGAACTTGTTAGCTGGTAATTGATTTCATTAAGTTCTTGGCCAAGTGCAAAAATTCTCTGCCAACGACAACCCCAATATAGCTTGCAATAATATCAAATTCAAGTTGCTTGACAACTTGTCCAACAAGTTGGGCAAATGTTATTTTTCCCTCCTTCTTCTTTCTGCTTTGTGAATGCTTCCGATTCGTAGTCCAAAATAGTTGAGGCGGAACAGATTACTACTGCTTATTTTTTTGTCGGCTACAACCCTGGTCAAATTGACAGCTGATCAGTGTGCGCTATACATATATATATATATATATATATATGGGTATGTATATTTATTTTTCAACAATTTCCGCTATGGCTGATGCTTCTCTCTCTTGGGGTCTAACGGCTTGGGCATGAAACATGCCAAAGTTTCCGCTTACTTCTAAATTTGATCTATATTTTAAATTGACTATGTTGAGTCTATATTTTGTATGTCTCTATTTTAAGTAGCTCTGTCTCTATCATTATTTTTTTCACATTCTATCTGCCTTCTTATCCTCTTTCTCTGTCTATCACTCTGTCATTCTCTCTCTCTCTCTCTCTCTCCCTATTATATATATATATATTATATATACATATGATAATATTTTCTTTCTTAATATTACTTTCCATACTTCTAAAGATGCTCTCTGCTCTGCTCCATATACTTCCATTAATATTTTTTCGTTTACTTCCATTGTCTTTACTTTTCTCGTTGCCTTTCTCCTTTGTTACATCGCCATCTTTCTCTAATTATAGTATTTATTCTCCTTTATTAAACTTCTTTAACATTTTCATCTTTCCATTGTCTTTTTTAATAGCTCTCGGCTTAGTTTAAAGAGCATCTAAGTTTTCGTTCAACTTAACCCAACTTTTTGGTGTTTTTCCTCTGGTTGTTGTTATTCGTATTCCCTTTGGTCGCTTGTCATCTGCAGTTGGTGTCTGTGTGCGTGTGTGTGTCTGTGACATTGTTATCCTTTCGTTCGGTTGCTTATCCCTGTCAGTTGGTAAATGGAACATGGCGTTCGCTTTTCCCACATCTATGAAAATCTGCGCGTAAAGCAAGAATTTTCATTTTTCATTTTTCATTTTTTTGCACATTTTTTGCCGAATTTCTCACTTTGATTTTCTGATTTTCACTTTTCACCTTTCACTCTGGCTGCATGTAAATTGTCGAGCTTCATTTATCAGCCATGTTTGACTTTTATGTGCGGGCCATAACTTGCAGCACGGAGCTGGACACGGAACAACGGTTCGCCAACGGGACTGTACATTCGATAGCAGTTACCAAATATTCCGTTATTGTTTTCTTTTTCATTTGATTATGTCTCAGCTTTACCTGCAATCAATTGCAATAGTAATTGCTTATCTCTTTGCCTCTCTCTCTCTTTCTCGGCTTCTTGTAATTGACAGCAACTGCTGGAAATGTTGGTATATTTGCATATAATCAAGCCACGTAGCTAATTTATTGAGCAAATAACACTTTATCGATCGCTTGACATTTGACTTACCAAAACGTTGACGCCTGACTGCATCACAGGTGGAGCAGGTGTCAGGCTACCTCTTCGCTTGAATAACTAATTAGTTAACAGTTTTCAATTTCACAATTGCCACACGAGAAGACCCTTCACACAGACCAGTAAACCAAACGAATACCCCATTACCAGGTGACTCCAGGTGAAAATATGAATTGATGCGAAAATTCGTGGGCGAGCTCAGGTATCTAAGTAGCTGTGTGTTGAAATCTCCTAAAGAGAGTTAAGCATATTTATTGTTTTCTAATATAATTAAAGGTTAGGCAATGTTACCAGAAAACAGTGTTGTAAAACACTAAATTACCATCATTCAAAATTATTATTAAACATATGTAAAGCCTCCATTTATCATAAATCAAAACAAATTTGAATTTGACAAGTTTTACAACACTGTTTGTAGCTATAAGGTGTCGTTTTACAACACTAGACATATGTCAGATGGCTTTCGGCTATAATAATTGATATTCTGGACTATTAAGAGTTCGTTTTACAACACTGCTCTTCAGCACTCTTCTTCAACACTAAGCATAAGTTTAAATACAAATGAGATAATTAATGAAAATTAAGTTTTTTAATTCATTTATTAGATACTACTGATAAATTCAGATGCAGTGTTGCAAAAGCTTAGCAAGTTTAGTATTGGTTCAATTTATAGCCAAATCTTAGGAACTACTAAAAAACTCTAGCACAAACATACTGAAGAAAAGCCATTTCAAAACTTAACTATTTTGTATTGTTTGTGCAACACTTGCTATATTATGAGGAGTCAACGTTTTACCACACTGCTTAACGGCAAATATCAAAGCTAATGGCAACTAAGATATAATTGACAATTATTATAACATAATTAATATATTTCAGGAAAATAATGGTGATCTCTTACACTTTGCAGTGTTGTAAAACCTTGAAATGTGCAACACTATTTAATTTGCAGAGCCTAAGGACGCAATCCCAAAGGCAATTCCATACACAAATCAATTTGCATTCAAATTCATTCAGTTGCCCATAGCGAGCACTAGATGGCGCCACAAGCTGTGCAGCCTGTCAAGGCCATGGAAAGTGAACTTTGCTCTGTTCATTTATCCATAAATAGTAACCAAATTTATGCATTAAACTTGGCCTCTAAGTCTTTATGTAATTGGCTTTGGTGTTTATTTTAATAGATTCGACGCCTCCACACGAAATGTTCTCTTCGAGCTCAGCGAACTTTCAGAATTTTTCAAACTTTTCCTGGCATATGCAACACTCTGTTAAATGGCTTCTTATTATTAATGCATGGGGGCTCCTAACACATGTTTTGGCATTCCCAGCAGCACGCACAAAGTAAGTTTATGGGCGGAAAAGTAAAAGTAGGAAATATACCAAGTCTGAGTGGGTGACTTTCAGATACCCAGTGAAGAAAATAGAGTTTGAATTTCTTGGAAAATTACAGTAAAATTTAATTTCTTGAATTGAATTTTTCTTATATTCTTGAATACAGAGTTAAAAATATTAACAGAATTTTAACTAAAATATGTGTTGTATAAATTCAGAATACTTCTAGACTAATTGTACTTAAGATAAGCCCTAAAGCATATGCTAAAAGCCAGGAGAGTAAGAAAAGAGGACTTTATATAATACCCAAAACTCTGGTCGGTCAGAAGTCCATGTAGCTCATTATACCCCTGAAAGACGTACAGGGTATTGAAACATTAGAAAAGCCAAACTTTGAGAGCAACAACTGAGCGGTAAATAATAGCTTAACATGGCAGACTATCCAAATGTCAAAACACACAGCTCAGCTTCACTCATGATACCCTATATAGCAAGTATGCTGCCTACAGGGTATCATATATGAATAGAAGAAAGAGTACACTTAGATAGAGCAGATAGGAAAGTTAAGCCCACCTCAGCTTAGTTCATAATGCCCTACAGAGCAAAGCCCAATTTTACAGGGTATTTAAAACAAAAGAAACCCGAAAGAACAACACTAAATACAGCATAATATAGCAGATAGCCATTGCCTCTTCACATAGTTTGCCTGGGCACTTGAGCAAGGCGACGGGAGACGAGGCGAGTGGCCAAAACATTTGCACGCCTCCAAGCGCAGTCATAAACTAAAGCCTGTGGCAGCTACTACGTGCCGCAGCTGCTGCTGCTGCGGCTGTAGCACGGAACAAGGGAGGAGGCATGGACTCTCGGGCCGAATCTGCGTTCGATACGCTACGAGTCGAATATTTGGCCAGGGCCATGTTTGTTTGCTGTTTGTTGGCTGATTGTTATTGTTTTTGTAGAGGCCAACACGTTGTTAAAGCGTATGTGAGGGCTACGTGTAAGTGTGTGTGTATGTGTGCGTGTGAGAGTGTGTTTTCCAATTAAGCGTGCGAGCGAACAGACAACATGAAGCTGAGGTAAAAGCCACAGCTTGACTTGGCCAAGACGAAATGTACGCAGCATTTGCTTGTTATGTCAGCGACACATCAAAACACACACACAAACACATGCACACACACACACACACTCGCACACACACTCCATCATAGGCAGCACACAAAAAGTATTGCCTGCTTTTAGGCGCTCGCTGAAAGCCGCTCACATCTATTAGGCTAGCGCCTAACCGCGACAGCCTTGCTCGCTCTAACGCTCACTCTCTCTTTCTCTCCCTCTCTCTCTCACACTCGCAACTCTGCAATCAATGTACATTTGCCTAATCTGAGTTTTTCACTTTGCCAAATTGCGCTGCTGCTGCTACGTTTTGGCTTTTGTCTGCCTTTTGGCGCGTTGCAAGGTTATTATTCAATTTGCTCACATAAGCGGATTAGGCTGCCACACACATACCCTACAAAAACAAACGCATACTGCTGCTCCTCCCCTGCTTTCAAAACAAGCAATAAATCAGCTTACATTTACACTTTGCCTCTCACAAACTCCACAATAAAAAGTTTCAAATTGATGAAAAAATAGAAATTGTGAAAATTTCGTTGAGGCTTTTGCCTTTGTAATCGATATGAAAATCCGCTTAGCTTTATTTGCCATTTGTTGTTTATCAGCGTCAAGCATTTTGCATTGTCAACATAAAGCCAAAATAACAAGTCTTTGCTTGGCTCTCACCCAACCCCAACTCAAAGCCCAATTACCCAATTGCAAGGCAATCTGAGCTTCTGGCTGATAGTAGAGCAAATATTAATGAAGCTGTAACGCAATAACACATCAAACGAGCCAGCTTAAGGTCTGCCGCTTAAATAGATGAAGCCAGACATATACTTTACCTTAGCGAGAGAGTTGCTTAAAGGAGTTGGCTTTGAATTGGGCTGGAGTTAACAAATATGAAACATAAATGAAAATTGACTTAAGCTTGGCCCAGTAGACCAAACTCATTAGGCAACTAGCTTAAAGTTGTATCAAAATCAGTTCACAGTAATTGATATGAAATGAAAAGTCAGAGTTGAGCTCAGAGCGTAAATCTGACATTCAGATGTTCGTATCTGCCAAAGCCTCAATCATTAGTGCTCGAAATTTGAGCTTAAGATTTCATAAATTTACAATATTCAAAGTCTGCTAATGCATCACAGCAACATACATTGTGAATATAAAATCTCTAGCTTTTCTGCCATTCAAATTGCAGTTAAAAAACAATAATAATAAGGAAACGGAATACATAGACATGGCTAGTTCGACCTAGCTCATCGGTCGGATCAAGAATATAAATATTTTCATGAATTCCTAAGAAAAGCTTTATTTATTATTAATTTATAAATTATTTATTATTATTAATTATTAATTATATTAATTCTTTTTATTATTATTATTTTTATCAAATATTAATTAACAATTATTAATTATTGATTATTTATAATTATTTTTATTATTATTATTATTAATTATCAATGAACAATTATAAATTATAAATTATCAATTATTATTAATTATTTTTAATATCCTTATTATTTATTAACAATTATTAATTATTGATTATTAATTAATACAAATTAAAAAGCTTTTAATTATTAATTATTAATTAATACAAATTAAATTTAATTTAAAAAAAGGTTTTTATTACAATTATTAATTATTAATTAATACAAATTAAATAAAGTTGTTCGCTTTTAAGAGCTTTTAATTTGCGCCCAAGGCTCTGTACGCTTTCAATCTGCCCAAGAGCCCGGTTGCTCGGGGCACAATTTATATATGTATATGTAAATCTGGTCAACTCTGGTGCTTAACGTGTTTTTAATTATGTTTCAACGACAGGCTCATTATACAAGAAACACAGAGACAGAGAGAGGGAGATGCAGATACCTGCACATGAGTTAAACAGCGTATGAGAGTTCCATGATTAATGTATGAGCAGGCCAAGCATAAGAGGACGTCAGGCCGCCAGGACGACAGGACATCAGGGCGATAGGACGATGCGAAGGCAGGAAGTGAGAGGCTCGACACTCCACACACCGCACTCCAGCTGCTAATAATACACACACACGGTGAGTGTGTGTGGCACGTAAACTGACAATGACGTAAGGCGTTAGGCGTAAGGCATCTACGTAACGAGAGGCCGCGATAAAATTGCGGAAGCTGTGCGAATGCCGATGGCATCGCCCCACAGCAACTGATGAAAATGTCGTTTATATGCATGAAAAATGTGCCTGTCAAGTGGGTATACACGACTGCTGTATGGCTATGTGACAGCGGAAAGAGACAGAGAGAGACCAGAAAGTGTTCTATAAATGAATATAATACATAAAGTTAACTAAAAGCCTTTAGAATCATTTCTAAAAGGATTTCACTCTAGAAAGAAACGTTGCTCAGAGATCGAGAGTTGAAAACTCAGAAGTTAAGTAAGAATCTCTAGATCAATATCAACTAAAAATACTGATAGCTATATAGAATCTGCTCGATAAAGGTAAATTTTGCAGGGCAACCCTTAGCCGAGTTGAGCTTTATTTGCCACACTGATATTTGTTGCTTTTGTTATGTGCCACGGGCCAATCGCATCGTCAACCTTTTCACCTCTTTTGTATGCTCGACACACGCGTTGCCCTGCACTAAGGAGTATGTAAGAAGAAGCAGGCGGAGGCGAAGAGGAAGAGGCAGTGGAACGTTTGTTTGCAGGCAGGTAAAATGTTACTCACCTGTCAGTTGGCAAACAAGGTAAACGCCTCAGCTATCAGGCTAACCATATGGGGCTCAGACTTCGTGACACTCTCATAAACGATTCAGATTCTGTTCCAGTTGCCTGTAAACCTGCCCCAGCTGCCCCACCTGCCCCATCTGCCTTACCTGCTGCTGACTGCTATCTCCTGGCTTAACCTTGTCGCTGACAACAGCATCCGTTATGCCGCATAGCAACTGGCTTTCAGTTTCCGCTAAAGCTTTTCATACGGAAATCGGTTTGTCTTACGGCTGCCTGCACATGCGGCTAGCAAAATGCCGCTGCATTTGTAGAATTTTATATTCTCAAGCTGACGACGAAAGCGCACCCTGTCTGAAGTAGCTTAAGAAATATGTGAAGGATGTTCTTAACTTGCGAAGCTCGTTCAATTTACCTCTAAGATTTGGTTAAGCACACGCAATGATTGAAAATAAATTTAATTCTGGGTTTGGTTGGAGCAGCAGCTTTTTATGTTTTTCAATAGTTTGAGTACGGCAAATTTCTCTTAATTTTACTAAACCTATCGTTATGAATATAATCTAAAAGTACGATCATATAGCTTGAAAACTAAGCCGATTTTTGTATTACTTTTAATGTTCTTCCAATTTTTTTTTTATAATTTTCAACTTCAGAATTATATATTTTCGTTAAATGAATTTACATTTTGGTAAATGATCTCTAAGAGAGCACAACATTTTCATATCTTTGCGAGTTCATGATCAGGCATGAATCTTTGACATAAGTAAGAAATAAGATTCGGTGACCCACGGGTTCTCTTCCAAACTCAAAACTCTAAGAAATGCAAATGTTATCCCAAGCTAAAAATAATACTTCAAAAAAATTTTTTAAAATTGTAATTGATCCGTTTTCAATTTTTTTAAAGCTCCAATTTAACTTTTTAAATTTTAAAAATGTTTTAAAACTTTTTATTACATTTTCAAAATTTATAATATAAAATTAAAGTTTTCCGGATTCAAAATTTTTAATTAGAATGTTTAAAAATACAACTTTTTTTCAAAATATAAAAAGAAATTTCTGAATTAAATTTTTTCTTTCTAATTTTCCAAAATTTCTTAAAATTTATGAAGACTTTGTTTTAAATTTGGGATAATTTAATTAAGAAACCGTATAATTTAAGAAGATTTTAATTGAAACTGATTTCCTTACCTAGAACACTCTTCGCCTCAAGTGACATGCGATGCGCGCAATTTTTGCCCAACTGCGACTAAGCGAAATTCCTCAATTTGCGTATCTTGGAACCGTCTCTTAAAATGTTTTATCTCTGCGGCTGTGGCTGCGGCAAACGAGCATGACACTTTATTCCATCGTGCTGGCTCGCTTTTTATGCTACGCTTTATGCTCATGTTTACACAGACTGCCCGCCACGCCCCTGCAGCGACGCCGACCAAGCCTACCTCACCTACTACTTACCTTCACATAATTTAAAGTGTTTTGCCCTGCCTTGCCCTGCTTTTGCCGTTTATTATGTTTTACTTTATCTTAAAAATGAAGAAATAAGAGCAGCAACAACAACATGACGAAATTAGCGCAACAAACTCGCGTCCTACGTGTCGTATGCGCAATGTGCCGAAAGTTGAGTTGAGTTGAGTGCAGCCGAGCCGAGATGAGATGAGATGAGAATATAAAGTCGTTTAACCTACGTGCTGCACATTAGAGTATGCGCTGAGCACTTGCCGGCTGACAGATTTCCTGACACGCCCCTCGCCCCTTAAACCAATTACATTAAGTATACGCAACGCCGTGCAGAGCTGCTAAATTTTTTGCATAGAATAAACAACATTTTGTCATTTAGTTTAATAATTGTTTCATTTCATGTCAGTTAATTTATTTTTTTTGCAATTTTTATTTGACGTAAATAAAAATTTCAATTTAATACGCATACGCAACGTATGCGGGCAAAACAATCATATAATATAGTTGTTATTTGGTTTTTCTACTCCAGTTTTGTGTGTGTGTTTGCTGCTCATGAAAGAACTAGTAAATAAAACAAAAACTCATACAAAAATTAACAATTTATTTCTATATAGAAAATAATAGAAAACTAAAACACGATGCAAATATTTTTGATGGAATGTTAAATTGCTTTGGAAACAAATTAAATGCTGCTTTGTCTGTATCGGATCAATGTAATTTTCCTCTCTCTTTTTTATGGATTTTCTGTGATGCGAAATATATTTTAAGCAGATTTCCGTTAAAGTTTTCTTTTAGTTTTGGCCTTTGAAACTTTAAATAATGATATTATATACACTTAAATTGGTTTTTTAAGGATTTACTTAAATTTATAACTAAAACTAATGATAACATTTCTCTCTCTCTCGCGCGCTCTCTCTCTCTTTCTTTCTCTGTCTGCCTTGTCCTACCTTTCTTAGAAGACTCTGAGCTTTGTTTTAAATAGAATTGTCAAGTATTCTGTTGGAATTCAATTCGATTCGATTTATGTTTTAGAATGCTAGCTAGATATATAGTGTTTGCTTCCAACGGTTAATTGACTTGGGAAATTGAGAAGGAAATTTGAATTCATAAATGAAGTTAGGATTCACTTTTTTCTGTCATGTTTCTTTAAGCAGCTTGCCGAAAAGTATACATATATATATATGTATTTTTTTAAATTTTTTATATATTTTTTAAATAGTTTTTTTACATATACAAAAAATTAATCAGTCTAAGTACGTGTTTTTCCTTCTTGCATGCATCGTGTTGGAGAAAGAATACATACATATACATATACACATATACATACATATAAGAATGTATTTCAACAATTTGTGTTAGCCCCTGCGGCTAGACTTATACACATTCAACTTTTAACTTAAATATCGTATGGTTGAAACTTATGCTTGTTAAACCATTGTACTTGTCGTATCTATGTGTGTGTGTGTGTGTGGGTGTGTGTGTGTGTGTGAGTGTGGTTAACCGTAGCTCAAACATAGAAACCACATACAACATCATCATCATCATTCATCTCCATCATCTTCATCAATCTCTTCCTCCATTTAGCTTATATATCACGTCCACTCACTCCCACTTTTTCCTTGCCAGCAGAACGTCTTTTTTCAGGGAGTTGCAGTAAGTTGTTTTTGTTTTTGTGTTTGTTTTACTTAGTTGGTCGTTTCCGTTTCTTCGCCTCGCTCCTCCAGCTCTCACGCGTATTTGGTAAAGGCCCAACGCTGCGTGGCCAAAGCCGAGTTGCAGCGCTGCGCACTGATGCCCTGAGCATGGTGATCCCGCGTGTCCAGGCAGACATTGATCTTGTTGTGCTTCAACAGGCCGCCGTCCTTCATGATCCAGCGTTGGTTTTCCGTCTCGTCACATGACTTGAGAACCACCTGCGAGCCGCGTGAGAATTGCACCAGCGTCAGACAAAGATCGTCGTGTTTGATTTCACCACGCTTCGAGAAAGCCCATTCCTGATTGCCGCCCGTATTGTGGCAGGGGAAGAGACCTGTGCGAAGCAGAAGAAGCATATGTGGCACTTGATTACAATAGATCCCGAAGAGCTTGAACAGTGAGTGTGCAGAAGCTTGTGGCTGTCTCCACTGGGAGTGGTGCAGGTCGGAAAGAACTCTTGGCTTAGCTTGTCTGGCAGATGGATCCATAAGCTGTATGGCCATGGTGCTATCTTTACTTACCCACTGTGCCGTCTATTATGTGACCCATTGTATCCAAGCATTCGGTAGCATCCTGTCTAAATTGTCCCACCTCCTGTGGCTCGGGTGCCTGCAGGTCGGGATAAACATGCTCCAGATACCACTTGAAGGGTTTGCACTGCAGCTTCTCCTTGAGGGCCAGACGATCATCGATGCTGACAGAAAGAAGAAGAAGGAGACAGATTATAATGAGTAATCTCTCTCTCTCTCTCTCTCACTCATTAACTTACTTGCCAAATGGAATATTTTTAGCTAGGGGTACGGCATTGTAGTAGTGCTGCTTGTAATCATCCATCCAGACTTCGGCAGCGCGTCGAGTGTTTCTGGCGAAGACGTTGCCGCTGCCGCCGGGGAAAGTGTATGGATGGCGCTTGCGGAATACGTGACCCACTCGACTGCATGGAATGATCTCTAGACTGCCGCCACATTGCCAGACGCGGAACGAGATCTCCAGATTCTCGCCGCCCCAGACATCCATTTTCATATCGTATTTGCCCAGCTTGTTGAAGTAGGCCTTGTCGATCACGAACAGACCGCCCGCTATCATGGGCGTGCGTATGGCAGTGGTTGGGTCATTGTGCCTGGCTGCACGCTCCGTGGGACTGAGGTACTCCCATTTGAAGATCAGATTCCAATCGAAGCCGCCACGCAGATCCGCCGAGGCGCCAATATACTGAAAGTTGTCCATGCTAATCACATCGATGACGGGGCAGACCACGCGTGTCGGATCCTCGCGCACACGCTCCAGCAGCGGCTCCAGCCACTGCTCATTGCACTCGACGTGGCTGTCGAGGAAGGTCAGCACGCTGCTAACAGCTGCATCGGCGCCGCGCACTCGCGATCTAACCAGCCCTTCGCGCTTATCGTTGCGTATGATGCGCACCTTATCGATCTTGGCCAGCTCCATGCCGTCCTCGGCTGGAATGGGGTAGAGAGATTGGGAGATAGATGGGTAAGAATTTAATAACTGTTTTGTTAAGCTCTTCATAAATTGACAATCTTCTTCATTATTCAATTAAAATGGCTCATCCAAACTTGAGTTTGATTTAATTTATGAATGAGTCTGTAGATCTGGGTATATCCATTCCCAATCCATATCTTCGGAATTCTTCACAATTCCATATTGAGCTATAGAATACTTACGATGGTCACTGTAATCATCCACCAACACAATTTCCCGTATTAAATGCTCCGGACTACGATTCAAAACGCTCACAATTGTGCGCAACAGCGTGGAGCGAGCCTCATTGTGGAAGGTGATAATCACGCTCGTCTCGGGCAGATCTTCGCGGTATTTTTTGCTGCGACACCTGGAAATTAAAATGATAAGATATATTAAGAGAAATGTTTACTTTAGATATGATGTCTAGTCTCTAGTCTCTAGTCTCTAGTCTCTAGTCTCTAGTCTCTAGTCTCTGGTCTCTAGTCTCTAGTCTCTAGTCTCTAGTCTCTAGTCTCTTGTCTCTAGTCTCTATTGTCAAGTGTCTATCTGGATCTCTAGTCTCTAGTCTCTAGTCTCTAGTCTCTAGTCTCTAGTCTCTAGTATCTAGTCTCTAGTCTCTAGTCTCTAGTCTCTAGTCTCTAGTATCTAGTCTCTAGTCTCTAGTCTCTAGTCTCTAGTCTCTAGTCTCTAGTCTCTAGTCTCTAGTCTCTAGTCTCTAGTCTCTAGTCTCTAGTCTCTAGTCTCTAGTCTCTAGTCTCTAGTCTCTAGTCTCTAGTCTCTAGTCTCTAGTCTCTAGTCTCTAGTCTCTAGTCTCTAGTCTCTAGTATCTAGTCTCTAGTCTCTAGTCTCTAGTCTCTAGTCTCTAGTCTCTAGTCTCTAGTCTCTAGTCTCTAGTCTCTAGTCTCTAGTCTCTAGTCTCTAGTCTCTAGTCTCTAGTCTCTAGTCTCTAGTCTCTAGTCTCTAGTCTCTAGTCTCTAGTCTCTAGTCTCTAGTCTCTAGTCTCTAGTCTCTAGTCTCTCACTCACATTGGATTCCTGGTGTCAGGTATTTCTCGATTGCTGGGCAGCGCATCGCTGGCCTCCTGATTGAAGCGATTCCTGATGTAGGGATCCTCGCCGCTGCGTAGTCCGCCGCCACGTATGTAGCCCGCCTCGTCAAAGTATTCGATTTCGCTGCCCTCGCGCGCGCTTGCCCCGACGGCCAGACGTCCGGCATTGCCGCCGCTGCTGCCCTGCGATGTCTCCTCGAGAGCGACAATGCCATTCAACTTGAGCCCGTGCACCGCGTTGCGTTCAAAGTCCTTGACGGAGCCGATTAAGATGACATTGCCACCAGGATCGTCGTCGCCTGCGGCAGCTGCAGCGACGCGTAAGCCGGAGTTGGCGGCGGGCGCCCATTGGCGAGCAGTCGATGCACCGGCCGATATATCGTCCTGATACTGTTGCATGGCTGTTGCTACCTCACGTAAGCGCAAAGCACGATTCTCCACCTAGACACAAAGAGGAATAGAGAGAGAGAGAGAGTGAGTAAGCCATTTAATTTATTTGCTTAATCTGCGGCACTTGGGTGACGCCGACGTGGAACGTGGTCGTAACTCAACACAACTGAAAGCAAACACACACAGAGATGTGGGCGTCGAGTGGGCAGAGGGCGTGGGTCTGTAGGTATGTAGGTGTGTGCCGCTTTTTTCACTTCTTCTTCTTTTTTCAGGATTAGAGCGTTTTACAACTTGCAGCAGTAAAAAAAGTGGAAAATGTTGCAGTTCAGTTTACAGTTTTACAGCCAGCGGCTGACTTATGGCTCAAAGCGAACAGCAACAACAACAAGAACAACAATTGTTGCCCCTTTCGTGTTTTGTTTCAAAAGATTCATAATCTTTGAAAAAGGGGCAAAAGGTAGCAAAGTCTGACCCAGTTGCAACCGGAAAAAATATAGTTATATATATATATATATCAGCTATATATGGTATACGTATATAGTACACACGTTTATGTGCCTTTGAGATAAGTTTTCGGTTGTGCAATAAATTGTTACAACTCGTTAAAAGTGTGCTCTAATGCCTTGGCATAATGTGCATAGTTAAAGCAAGAAATGCAGAAAACTTAGAGCTGTCGATAGCTATCGACTGTTAGCTGAAACCCTTTATATATGCCATTTAATCGATATCCTTGCTTATGTCTAATGGCAAGACTAAAGCGAGCTAAGCGGAAATCATTTGATAACATCTTAGATTGGCTAATAGCATTAGATATGTATTTTATTTATAAATAAAAGAGCTAAGAGCTCAAATTTTCTTATTAGTTTATCGATAAGTGTCGATAACTCATTGCCTATAGCTTATATATGCATTCCATAAAGATATATAAAGTGAAGTGCTTCACTTTTAATATCCAAAATTGTATCGATAGGTATCGATTAATCATTTTTATATAGATTAATTAAATTATATACGCATACCACTAGTTAGATCTTTAGTTTTCATATCTGTTATATTTATCGTTAAGTATCGATTACACGTTTTCATATATAATATGTGCGACTATTATTATAATTAATAAATTAATATGCTAGGATTCTCAATATTGATTAGAATCATATAAATCGATAAGTATCGACATGACATTTACGTATCTAATATGGACTATTTATTTAATCAATAATGTTGTTTTTAAATTCAGCTGATATCTAATCGATTTGCATAAAAAATATATTTATCGATAATTATCGATTTGCCATTTAACTTTTTGATATTATTTGCCATTTGTTTTTACTGATTCCTAGCACTGCTTGTCGCAGCAGAACTATAAAAGCCCACAGTATAAAATGGAGCCCGCACATTTCAGTCGATAAATATCGATTTTACGGTTATAGAAAGCTCAAGGTTAAAACCCCACAATAATTACAGCAATTATATCCACGAATTTTAAAGGCTCAACGTTTCACAGCTGACAGTACAGAGCAAGAGCTTTGCTTCTATTATAGTTCAGAGTCTTGACGTCAAACCCCCACAAATCTGCTTCATAGCGCTAGCCTATGAATTTATGAATAGCAAAATCAATTCTGTAATTTGTAATTTATAATCAATCAATGGCCCAAGCTGAAAATGCATATTTCTCAAGTCTAGCAGAGTCTTTTGCCTTTAAATAATAAAAACATATTAAAGCTTAAAAAGATTTAGCAGCGAGAGCAAGCAGAGGGATTTGTTGATAAGGAATGGCCGTTTGTTCAGCTGAAGGCTGCGTGTGTCAAGCTTAACAAAACTTGTGCCGAAATCTCAATCAAAAAAACGAGCATGAAAAGGTTAAAAATGGTAGCAGCTGTTGAGCACTTGGGAACAGTTTGAAAAGTTCGAGTTGTTCTTGAAGCTTGATGAGGAGTAAAAGGCTGTCCATAAACTTTGGGACTGGGCTAATGGGCCATAGCTCCTTTTGTTGTGTAGTTAAAGCCATTAAAAGGCTTGAGTATTGGCCGACTGCTCTTACACTTGACAGCGAAGTAAAGAGAGCAAGACAGAGAGAGAGAGATAGCGTGTGGGAGTGAGAGAGAGAGAGAGTCATCATGAGCTCTGCCCATGACTTGATTATTAATTGCTTTTCACATTTGAATCAATTTGTCATGCTTTTTTCTCGCATTTAAAGGTCCACACACACTGACATAGAAAGAGAGAGGGAGACCCTCCATTTGTGATACGCGGCGTATGCGTGTTTTCAATTTTAAGCGTAGAGCGCGGCACGTTTTGCATTCGACTTCCGTTTCATTTGACTAGGTTTTTCGGTTTAGCATTTTCTTACGATTTACACGAGACGTGCGCCTTTTAGCGCCATTTACGAACGCATTTTTTATGCGACTCTCAGCTGGGGTCCCTTTCAGCACGGGGCAACGTGTCTGCAGTTTGAAAACGAGAACACAAAATGCTCCCAAGTGTTGAGCTGTGTGACTGACTGCATTGTTACTTACAATTAAGCTAAGGCAGTTAGTAGAGGGTAGAGAATTCGACTCAGCTACAAGTAAGTGGAGAATGGTTTATGACTCGGCAAGCAAAGCTTACAAATGAATTTATAATGCGCTTGGCTAGACGGATTTAAGCTTTTCGTGTGGCAAATTGTAAATATTTATTAGAATATTTATATAAATATTTACAAAGAGTATATTGGCTTTGCACAGTGTTCGTCTTGGTATACTTGTCTTGAAATGTTGGATACATTCGTGTAGACTACTCAAGATCAAAAAAATATAGATTATATATTTACGAGCAGGGCAAATTGGAAAAGACGTAAATCATCTACAGGCTTAGAGCTAGAAGCCTGAGCTTCTTAAAAAACTAAAAATTTCAAAATTTAGTTATTGTTGATCATTTCTTTATTGATATACCAAAATTAATATATATATGATTCTTGGAGGTTTGCCACAAGTTAAGCATTCAAATGTTGCTTGAAAATGTATCTCAAATGTATTTAAAAATTTTAAAGTTGTATAACATATATATATATATTTATGTGAAATATATTTATTTATTTTATATTCATTTTAGCCTTCAAATGTTGATTGGAAATCTAAAAAAAAATTTTTTTATAATTTTATTTAATTATAAAAAACTTATTTAATGTATTTACTACTATTTATATTTATTGTTATACGTAACACTGTTATTTATTTAAACATATTTAAATATATATTTAAATACTTTTTCCCTCATAACAATCCTTTATCTGATTCATTGCAATTCACTCTTAGTCACATTTCATTTCATTCATATTTCTGTTGTTTATTTCTTTTCCATTCACTCTGCATCAGATGCTAATAGCTCCATTATTCTTCCATAGTCACATTTATGGTCGACTATAAATATTTTTCTCATCTAAATGCGAAAGTTCTTAGCATCTGTCTCTCTATTTAACATATATATGTGTGGGTATATAGTATACGAGTATTATCCCATCACATAGTTAGTCCATTGTTGTTGCCTTTGTTGTCGGATGAGCTTTAGGGTATATCATGATGCATTCAGCTGCGACGCTTTCGGTTGTTATCATTAATTACGAGCTCTAGTCTGAGCTGGTTTTTGCTTTTGTGCATACACTAAATGACGGACAGGCAAAAGAAATAGAAGAAGAAGCAGAAGGATGCTGTGCGACATGTGACAATACAGTTTGTGAGCCACAAGGACACACAATAAGCAACAGTTGCATGCGACGCTGGCGACGAGGATTAAATACTCTTGACAGGCTCTGACAAGTCTCTGTGATGCTATCGACTGTGACTTCAGGAACGATATAAATCATGCTCACATCGATTATCTGTAGCAACTATTGAGACGGCATGTGTGCCAATAGAATTAGAATATCAGATAAGGAAATCAATCAAAGTGTCATTACATATGATTATGTATATCGAATATGTATTTTGAATATCGATGCACATATGTGAGTTTGTAATTTAAAATCGAATATATAATTTCAAATGTCAAATGTCAAGTATTTCTATAAACAATGCATATTGACTACAAATATATCGAATACAAATATCGATTTCTTATCGAATATAAATATTAGATATATATATATCATAGCATACACATATATATTTTTATTGATATTAAGTAAATTTATACAAAATTCATATTGAATAGATAATAGTTATCAAATTTTAGTTAGTTAGTTTTTAGTTATTTACTAAATGTGATTTTATTTACAACAACTATTCATATCGCCAATGTCAATTGATCGAATATGAATGTATAAATGTATCGAATATCACAAATATATCGAAAACGCAAACAGGCAAGGGCATGCCACAATCAAAGGAGCCCCATTGAAATACCGAATGAAGGCGCACATTGCGTATACGCAATGTCCCAGTGCTGAGTTAGTGCATTCCCTGTCGCAGGTCGTCGACTATGAAATAGGTATTGTTCGGTCTAATCCATCCAGCTACCTACCCAACCCTCCCACCTGTCATGCTATGCCATGCCATGCAAATGCTGTGGGCAACAGTTTCAATTTTGCCATTCGATTTGTCGCTTTTGCCTCGCTCTTCGGTCATGTGTAACTTAATTAGTTGCATTGTTTGTTCTGCGGGCGAGTTTGGGGACCGATTCAGCCATTGATTGGCTTTCGATGCGCTGTGTGGGCGTGTGGGCGAGCCGGCTCTATGTGCTAAGCCGGGTAAGCGGCTTATTTGCAGATCATTATGCGCATTTTGTAGCTGTAATTGACAGCAGCAACAATCGAGTCGAGAACCCCAAACACCCAAAGCCAGCGCCAAACAGCGAAAGCGTCTCACTCACCCGCATGGGAGTTTATGGTATCGCTATTGGTTATTAACTTGTTACTGCTTCTAATTAGGCATAAATCAAATGTAACTGTGTGTGTGCGTGTGTGTGATATAATAAATGGCCCAATAGACGGGCGAAAGTTTTTGTGCGCGATTGCAATTCAGATCTTGTTATTTATGTGGGAATTATGATAAAAACCATTTAAGTTCAACTGATTTGGGAGTACCATGGGAGTTGCAGTAGAATCACTTTAGATAAATAGAAATTTCATTAACTTCCATTTGCACGCTTCTCTCTGCTAAGTTAACGCATGATAACTTCTTTGTCTAAATCGCAATCTTTGTCAAATTAGTAGCTTAGAGAGATATGAGCATTACATAACTATTTTAGATATTATATATAACTAGAGAGTATCTTGAAAGCATCATTAAAATGTAGCTTTACAAGTTTCAAGTTTCTCTCTGCTTCAGCCAATCTCATATTTGTAATCTGTTCACTAATAGCATAACTTAAAGCTTATGCTCTCATAACATATCAAAACACCCTGCTTATATATTAGGATAATTACAGGGTATACAAATTAAATTTATGCGTGTGTTTGCATCGCAACTAGCTGCTAGATTGTTGCTCAGGCTCATATAACATTTCATAAATAGCCCAGAGCCTAGAGTCCCCCCGGTCTGTGTAACACGTAACGCGCATATATCATAAATATGCATGTGTGAAATACAAGTAAGAAGCCAGTAGCAAGCAGTGACTGACTAAGAAATACCTCGTGAAATTATACGAAAGTGTGTTCCCTACTTCAATTTAATATAGAATCACCTAAATCACTAAAAACTTTCCTTCGTTTCCCCTACATTCCTTTTGTAAACAAGCCAATAAACCCACTTGACGATAACTACAGGGTATTCCCATTCAGCTTGTGAGCCCTTGGGTATTTGTGTATCTAAGTCGGTTAGTGGAACGTGATCTTTAGGGCTTAGCCACAAACGTTTGGCTCGGCACGCAAGACAAACATCATGAGGCTTGAAGCGCCGACGACTATTGCAGCAGCTCTTTGTGAAGCCATCAATCAATCAATCGAGCACTCAGCCAAAAGCACTTATACATTTTGACTGACCTAAACAGCGCAATTTTCCATGCGGCTCATCCAAACTGTGTCATTAGTCAATTGACAACAACAAAGGCAACAACAGCTATAAGGCCTCATCGATATGGTCGATGCCAGCAACAAGTTGCCGCAAATGGATTTTTTTGTGTGTTTTTTCCACTTTTGTTTATTTTTGTTGCTGCTGTTTTTGTGTGTCTCGCATAAAGTTCAATGCTTTAGTTCAATGTCTGGTCATATATATATTTTTCATCATTTTTCTTTTGCACTTTTTAGTTATAGAAACTCGAAACAAATCATTGAAATTGGTTTAGACTTTAATGGGCTTTCAGTCTTTTAATGACAACAAAAAAGTAAGAGTGCTTGAGGCCAGCACTACTCGGCGCAGAGATACCCTGCAGGCAATTACAAGGCACTTCGGAGCTATAAATATACATGAGAAACATGATCTTGAAAGCAAAAGTGAAGATTATGTAAAGTAATCGAAAATTGTATTATGCTTACAGAAAAGCTCGAAGAAGACTGTAAAGTGTATTAAACGCAGAGCGTATAAGTCTATAAATACTTAAGGCTTTGCACATTGATGTATAAGAGCTTGTCAGACAGCGTATAAGAGGTGACTGCACTCGCTTTGCAACGCTGTTACTCAGTATGTGAGTATTAGTAGAAGTATAAGAAACAGAGAAGGCAAAGAAGTCGAGTGTGAACACAAGGTATTACACATTGGTTTCGGTTGGTCAAGAGTAATGGTAGAATAATTAATAATAATGATATTCAAGTACAGAAGTGAAGCATAAGAAATAGGAGGAGATTTAAAGTATATGAATTAAGACATAAGAAGTGCAGTAGAAGAACTAAAGTATAAGAACGGAGTACTTAGCATAAAGTATAAGAAGTGAAGTAAAAGAAATAAAGTAAAGTTTAAGAAGTATAAGATGAAGAGTGTAAAGTATAAAAAGTTAAGTAAGAAAAATGAAGTCTAAGAAGTTAAAAGTATAAAAAAGTAACGTATAAGAAGTAAAGTATAAGAACTCAATTATAAGAAGCTAAGTATAAGAAGTAACGCTTTGGAAATCAAATCAAATAAGTAAAGCTTAAGAAGTATTAAACATAAAGTACAAGTAGTAAAGAATAAGAGTTAAAGAATAAGAAGTAAAGTATAAGAAGGAAATTATAAGATGAAGGCTATATGAAGGTCATGGTTACTTTTGAAAGTATCTACAGAAGATGGGGACAAAGTGACGAATCCATCTGCATTTGCTGCAAAAATGCAACCTGATAAGCCTGGCAGAAACTAAAGGTGAAGCCAAAGTACACACAGAGATAACTTGAGCACATAGAAGGGGTCCACCTTGGGGGACTGTTCAAGAAAAAGAAAAAGAAAAAGGTGTTTTCAGCAGGTGACGATCAGACTGATTATTATTATTCATATTGATATTTCTATTATTGACTTAAGTTATTGACTTTTCCAAATAAACTTAAGCCACTCAAATTCTTTTCGATTTTTGGCTGTCTCGAAACGAATTGAAAATTTCTATTCGAATTTTAGTGTCCAAGTCATGTCTCACTTGCAATTCAACTGTTATTCTTGGCCGTATTATTCTTGGACTGAATGTACTTATGTGTCTGTGTGTGTGTGTGTGTCGGCCACTGTCTGCAGACAAGAATATTTTCGTGTTTCTGTTTTCTGTCGAATCAATATGTTTTTGGGCGTGCATAGATTTTTAATTGAATTTTGTTGTTTCTTATTGTTGTTTGTTTGCTTAACGAGTTGTTGCTGCTGTTGTTTTTGGTTGGCTGTGACGCATGGCCAACAGTGCCACATGTTGAATGGCTAGTTGGGTGTGTCCACAGTCCACAATTGAATTCTGCATGCTGAAGTGAATGGCATCAGCTCATTTGCAATGCATTTTGCAGTTTAATCAAAAGCAAATTGTTTTTAAGCTTTGAACTAAATTGAAAGTATGAAAAGAAAGCTTGGCATATAGTTGGGGCACTGACGTTGCGTATATATTCCCAGAGATTCTAGCTCTGAGAGCGTTCGATAAGGTATTTTGCAATTTGGAGCACAAAAATTCTGCTTCTCTTTGACGCTAACAAAGACATCTCGCTTGAAAATAAATTTGATACGTTCCAATTACTAAATTATGCACTCTGCTTCACATGAAACTACACGATGTGAAAATCATTCAGCTGGAAGACTGAGCAGCTGAGAGTTCAGGGGAAAGACACAAAATAGACACACGAACGAAAGCCGAAAGCCGAAAACCGAAAAAAAAACCCCAAACGAACCAAAGCTGGGGTTAAGCCTCAGTGATTGAGCAGGAAAAAACTGATACAGAAAAATAAGACAAGAAAAAACGCAGCAAATTAAAAACGCAGCGAGAAAACATGAAAGGAAAATGCTGGCGAAAATTTTCACTAATTAATAAAAAGAAAACAAATAGAGAAAAGGCTGAAAAGCAGCTCAAAAAACACGGCAAATGTGGGTCAGTCAAATTGATAAGATAAATGAAGACGGCAACACTTATAATGTTGATAAGCTAAGGTCCAGTAAGCTAGTGTCTCGTAATAACAGGTTAAACTGTATAGTTTTAAAGGTAAGTCAAATTAAAGAATACAAGAATTTCATCAATTAAATGCCTCATTGGGGGGTCAAAACTATGGGGAATATGAGAACGAATATAATGATGATAATGATAATGATAATGATAATGATAATGATAATGATAATGATAATGATAATGATAATGATAATGATAATAATAATGATAATGATAATGATAATGATAATGATAATGATAATGATAATGATAATGATATTGATAATGATAATGATAATGATAATGATAATGATAATGATAATGATAATGATAATGATAATGATAATGATAATGATAATGATAATGATAATGATAATGATAATGATAATGATAATGATAATGATAATGATAATGATAATGATAATGATAATGATAATGATAATGATAATGATCATGATAATGATAATGATAATGATGATAATGATAATGATAATGATAATTATAATAATGATAATGATAACGATAATGATAATGATAATGATAATGATAATGATAATTATGATAATGATAATGATAATTATAATAATGATAATGATAACGATAATGATGATAATGATAATGATAATGATAATTATAATAATGATAATGAAAATAATGAAACTGAGCAAAACAAATAAATGCTAATGGTCATCCTAATACTAATAATTGTAGTGATAATAGAGTTAATAAAGATAGTTATAATGTCCAATGCCAATGCCTATAATAAATGAAAATCAAAATGAAGACAATGATAATGAAAGGATAATGGCAACGACAATAACTCATAGCAATGATTATAATAGACACATGCCCTAAAAAAAGCTATGTTAAACAGCTCTATCAAGCTTAGTTGGTCAACTACCCGTTCAACAGTTAACATTGACCCCCAATCAGGAATGCCTTTCATAATTTTTAATTGCATTGCTCTAACTGAGGGGCTAACAGTATAAAACAATTATTAAAAGTTCTCGAGTGTTTTGAACCACCGTTGTGCTAGAAGGTGTCATCTGGCCGTGGCTTATCGCTGGGCTTCTCAGGGCTGATATCAGCCAGCATCTTTTGGGTTTCCTGCGCCAGATTCACCAGTGTGCCCAGATCATTCTCTAAGGTGTCGATGCGCTTCTTCTGCAGCTCAATGACATTGATGAAACGATCGATTTCCTCGCCGCGCGACAAGGCCAATGCTCGCCAATAGACCACATCATTGGTGACATCGACATACTCGACCAGCGACTTGGTGTGGGCCAAACGCTTCTGCAGCATCACAATAATGTGGGCCAAGGTGTGCCAGGAGAAACGTCTGCCCATCCGCTGGCTCTTGTGGACGGCATCACCAATCGTATCGGGAGTTACCAGCTCGAGCCGATCTTCGTGATATTCAGTCGATTTGCTGTTGATGCTGTGTTCATCGGCCTCGGCTCCGTGCGACAAGATCTTCAGATTGCTAATCATATCGACGGGCTCACAAATCAGAGTTGTTTCCGAATTAGTGTTATTCATGTCTTTAACTTGAACTCGACGTGTTGCGAATGTAAAATTTTGTTTTTCGTTTGGCTGATATTGTGAAATTTGTAAAATTATCACAATATATATATTTTCTCTATTATAAAATTTGTCCCTTAGCAATTTGATTTAGATATGTTCATTTACTCACAGCTTGCTCAGCACGAAAATCAAATTAAACAAATACAAATTTATTTCTGTTCACTATTTCCCAGACTACGGCAATTTGTTAATCATAACATTCTTCTTCTTCTTCTTCTTTCTTGTTTTATTTGATTTTAACCTAAAGTGTTAACAGTTACATTTCCTCAGTAGTTTTCACTCTTCAGCTACAATTTCCGTGCTTTTATGGCACATTAACAACGCGAAGCCTTGTCCATGGCTAATTTCCCTTTCAAGATTCTCTCTCTCTCAATTTAATGAGCTGTCAGCTTGAAGTTTGATAATATTTCCATTTTCATTGAGGTCACAGTTTACACTGAGTCATTTGCATGTTGATGATTACAGTTAAATGATACGAAATAGTTATTTTTTTAGTTACGAGGAATAAGCGAATGTTGATGGACTACAAGATACGCTGGACAATTTGTTCTTATTGTTATTTAAAAAAAAATATATATATATATATATAATATAAATATATAAAATAATCTAATAATATATATAAATATATAATAATATAATAATATATATATATTAATAAAATATTTTAATTTTGTTGTATTTTAAAAAAGATTTTTAAAATTTTTGATAATATAGAAAAAAGATTATTAATTAAAAATATTTAGTAAATAATTAATTTGAGTTTTCAATCGGAAAACTTTGAAAATCTATATTTTATATTTGAGAAAAATTACAAAAATTATAAAAATATAAATGGAATAAAATGGACAAATGCTTGCCATGAAAATCTTGTCAACTTTCCCAGCTTAAAGCCAAGATTGATACGGATCACAGGGCACTAAGTCCTCGACCGCCTTTCATAAAGGCCGTCTAGGGTATATAAAAAATGTATAGAGTCAAAGGGGAGGCGCTTATCCGATTTGCCTGTCAATCAACTGTTTGCCTCTTTGTTGAGCTTTTGGCCAATTTGCATAAGCCACAAATAGACACACTCACGGAGAGAAAACCGAGTGGAAAATTTGTTTGGCCAAAAGTGCAAACTGTAAACATGACGGCTAATTTATTGTCTCTGAACAAACAATGGAACTGTTTAATGCGTTTAATGCCACACACACAGACACATAAGTAGTTCAAATAAATAATCGAATAATGCTGATAGTTGTATATATATATATATATATATATATATATATATATAATTTAATCTATCACGAGGCCAGCGCTGTGTGTGACTGGCGGCAGCTGCAGTTAATTGGCCCGTGAGGTTAATTGAAAAATCTCACATGCAGACACGGAAAAACCCCTGACTAAGCTAACTGCAGCAGACCACAGCTTCTTCATCTTGTGAATCTATCTTTTTATATACACTATAGAGGCGCTCTCTTAGCTGCTTTGGCAATGCATCGTTGCGCAACTTGAAATTCATTTTCAGATGAGACTGAGACTGCGACTGAGACGAAATGCAGATGCCAAAGCAAATTGCGGCCACAGCAACAATTGCACATTGTTGTCTCTCTCTCTCTCTCTCCCTCTTTTGATGTGTGGCATCTTCGTGGCAACAAAAATGTTGAGAGCTGCATAACTTCCTTGTATATTTGGCCAAGAAGCTGCAGCTGTCGAGTTCAGCCTTCGATTTTTGGCTTTGAGCAAAAAAGCAGCTCGCTTGCGGCTTTTACTCTCGACCTGCCCCAAACCAAAACCTCAATTAACCAGCCAAGCTCTTAGATTGGCTTCCAGTTTTTAGCAGCCAACTAACAAAAACAAAGCCACGTCGAGGTGTTTGCTTTGCCCAAGTCGAAAACTTTTAATTTTATTAGGAACATATTATGTCTTCCACTTGCTTCAAATCTGAGTTCGTAAACAAAAATGTTATACTTATACCCTGTATTCAATATATATATATAGATCTATATGTATATATATATATATATGTGAACAGTATTATATACAATAGATTTACTGTTGCCTTGGAGCTCATGATCTTAGTTGTATATTATTTACCTTGAATAAACAAATATATTTTTCGATATCTATTTTATGCCCTGAGCTGTTACAAAATGGCAAAACAGGGCATATTGGCTTTGACAAAATGTATGTTATAGGCGGAAGGAGGAGTGGCAGAAGTCATTAAATATATATATTCTTTAGAAGACAAGTTGAGTCCATCTTGCTACGTAGCTTTCCTCTTTGGCACACTTAAATCACTATCAATAATAATATCGATAACGTAAATATTCTTTATATTTTAGAAACAAGTTATAAATTTATTAAAATTCAATTATAAATATGACTAATATGTCTGCTAGGACTCAAGGTATCTGCTAGTCGGGCACTCCCGATTGAAGCACTTTTACTTGTTTAAATATTTTGTATAATAAACATATCAGATTGTGCACTGAAGCAAGGCAGAAATTCGTTCAGGAATCAGCAAAAAAATAAACAAAATTTTATATTTCGAATTTAGATTTATTCTTCTTCTTCTTCAATGAATTTCATTAGAATGTGTTTAAGGCACTCAGTTATATATTTCTTAGTTGGACTAAGTAATGTACTTCTTTCAGTCACTAAATACAATAAATTTATTATTTGCTTCAGAGTAAATATCTGAGCTGTCCTAAACGACCCTAGAAGCTCCATTCATGATTTTACTTTAGTCTAGAATGTCGTGTTCAAGTCAAGAGCTAAGTAGCTCGTAATTGCTGCACTGCTGAAGAACTTCTTGGCTCTGGCACAGAAAGCACCTCAATGCAGAGTTTGAGATATTTAATATGCTAATTGAAGGTTTTGGTGCACAAAGCTCTTAACTCTTGGCTCTTAGCTGTTGGCTCTTTGCTGCTGGCTGGCCAGCAAAGACTTGGCTAATATTTCACAGGGCGTTTGGCAGCAATAAATTGCATGTTGCATAAAGAGAAGCCGCAGCAGCAGATGTTGCATGTGTGGCACAATGCGAGCTGCGAGTGCGAATGCTGTTAGCTTTGAGTCAGGCTGAAGTGACTACGACTGCTGCTGCTTCTGCCAGTGGCAACAAGAGATGCTCATAAAATATATTGAAAGTGCTTTGCATAAATTCTGAAAACAAGAGACAATGGATTATTGCCGTTTGAACTTTATGGAGCAGAATTCTTTGTGAGTTGAATCAATTAAGGCCAGCCAGCCAAACGATGGGGAGATGTGGCGATGGGGCGCCGAGGCGACACTTTAATAGCTCAAACGCTCATTAGTTCAAATTTAACTGCAATATCGGGTCGAAAAGCGGGTCAGTCCATAGTCGAGTCGACTCGCATCGAGTGGCTTGCCTCATGCATAAAAGAATATGCGAATGATGGAGCACAGATGCTCTAGCACCAATATGAACTGAACTGAACTGAACTGAACTGATGAGCACAGATGAGAACTGACGATGTGAAGGGCAGCAGACGCTTTCGTATGTTCATCCGTCAGATACTTCCACAGCCAGAGCTAAAGATACATGCATGCATAGATAGATAGATAGACTGGCTCTGTTTGATGGATGCATGCCATAACAACAAACAAGCAAAGCAGCCAACGAACAACAAAAAACCGACAAATTTCACAGACAGAGACACTGTCACCCAGACAGAGATACAAATGTATCTCAAAGCTGACAATGACGCATTCTAATTAGACAGTTCTTGTATAGTCCGTTTTATGGCTCGTATTTGTTTGGTCCAGCCATTTGATGAGCATATCAATGTCAACAGCAGCCACATGGAACCAGCAGCTGCACAAGTTGAACTACCCATATATATATTGACTTTTATACACATTGCGTATACGCAATGTTGTTTAGTTAACAGCCAGCTTTTGTTTTCTACTGTATACCCTGTGAAGCGGAAGTAGACGTGGATGAATGTGTGTGGGAGGCAGTAGAGATCATGATAATTCCAATCATAACTGATAAGTCTAAGCAAGTGAGCTATCTGTATAGAACTGTTAAGACTTTGTGAAATGTCTGTGCTGTTCTTCTCTTATGTTCCGCCTGTCACTTATCTAATCCTTCAAGTATTCATTTAATCGATAAATATCGATATCTTACATTCTTTGCATGCGTCAGCATGCAGAGTCTCTTAAAACATATGCAGTTGGAAGATCTTTAACTCATCAGGTATTTCGTCCCAGGCCATCCCCTAAGGCTGCTAGTCTGAGCGTTTCAGTATTTGCTATAAATATATATTTAAGAAAAATCGTTAAGCTATTTTTAGCAATAACAAAGTCCACAAATCTGAGCAGTTCTTCAGTTACCTATCTGTCTACAGGGCATCCCCTAGCTGAGCTCACTCTTTCTCAAACTGTAACCCACGTCCATAGTTATACCTAAATTATGTTTGACCAAAGCATTATTTATTTCATGAGCTTATTTTGTTGTAATTAGCTTAATAATTCGAATTAGTTGTCGATGCGCAATGCTTCCACATTTTGACCACAAAAAACATTTATTATTTCGAGCAGCTTCGCGCATTAATTAATATTTACAATTTAATACGTAATTGAATAGCTTTTTCGAATGCTTTTTCCTATGAAGCTGAAAAGTGGAGAATCCAATTTGACCACAGATTTGATGTGAGTTTGGGGCTTGACTGCGGGAAGTAAGAGATAAATCGAGCGGATAGAGAAATAATCGATACGTGTTTATTTCACAATCATTAGCAGGAGAAGAGTTGCTCTGTTCGACTAACTGTTTTGTCTGTCAATATCAAATGACTTGCCATTACAATCGATAATTATCGATATCTTGCTTGAGCTTTTTTGCCATTACAATCGATAATTATCGATATCTTGCTTGAGCTTTTTTGATAGGTCTTACGTCTAAATTTTCTTACACCCAATCAATTGTATGAGAAGAGTTGTTTAGGCTATGGCTCTCTGTTCATCTAGCTCCATTACAATCGATAACTATCGATATTTAACTTGTGGTTTTCTTGTGCCAGTTAATGCTCTTCTATACCCTATCATTAGTAGGCACATA